TGTGTGTGTGTGTGTGTGTGTGTGTGTGTGTGTGTGTGTGTGTGTACAGAGGAAGAAGAGAGTCTTGGCTCACCAGAGAATGGAAATGGAGTTACAGGGAGTTGTGAGGTGCCTGATACCGCTGCAAGAGTAGCAAGAGCTCTTAACGGTAGCACCTTCTCTCTGGCTTCTAATTTTTATTCTAGATTTTAGTGACCTCGTCTCTTCTTCCTATACCAACAGAAGAGTCCTTTTTCTTGCCTACCTGCTGGCCTCACAGGTGCAGGAGGCAAGCCAGTCTTTCAGCTGATTCTGATGTATAACAGGGCATCAAAGCCTTCTAGACTTAAGCCAATCTCCTTGGATATTTCAAAATTAAATAACTATAATAAGCAAAAAAATTTAATGCTTGTGAAATGGATTGTGTATATTGGTGACTCAGGCTTTGTTATAATTTACCTGCTTGTGTTTCTCCTGTTCAATTTATTTGGAGGCCCGGGATGTGACTCTGTGGTAAAGCATTAGGACCCGAGTTTGGATCCCCAATGCCCATGTAAAAACTGAATGTGATGACCCAATCTATAATTCCAGCGCTTCTATACTGAAATGAAACAGATGCAGGAGAATCCCCGCGAGTCTGTGGCCAGCTACCCTGATGAATGCTGTGAGCAGTGAGCATTGATCAAGATCTTACCTCAAACAAGGTGGAAGGTTTGAGAAATGCCACTCTAGATTGCCCTTTGACCACCATATACATGCATGCCATGCCGTGTGTGCATGTGCACGTGTGTGTGTATGCACATGTGCACGCACACACACATACACACCCACACAACACACATGTATCAACTTGAATTTCTTACTTTTGAGGCAATGGATTATTGGAAGGCATGTGGAAACACAGGCCCTGTGCCACAGAAGACACAGAACAGGGCATTTTTCTTTTGCCCTGATTCTGTGCCACAGCCTTTGGAACTCAACAAAAGTCTAAATGTGTTGTACCATGACACCTTGCCAGACTTTGAATTTCAATTTTGTCCATCCATGGTCTACTTTAGCTTCTTAACTGTGCTTTGAGAAGAGGCAAATACCTCCAGGGTTAAAGTTGAGACTGTCTTCCCTGTCTGTGTCAGAATCACTCCACCACAAAGCTGTATTCTTTGTTAGCTCTCTTGAGCAGACACAGACCTACTATTAAATTTCTATTTTACTTTTAATTATGAGCATTCACATGATTCCGAGGACGTGTGTGCAGAGGCCTGGAGACACTGGATCCCCTGGAGCTGCAGTTACAGGAGGTTGTGAGCCTCCTGACAAAGATGCTGAAGACTACTACACTGGGTCTTATGCAAGCTCTCTTAACCACTGAACCATTTGTTAAGCCAGCACGTGGATTTTAAAAGTATTTTGTTCAGTAGTTTTAGTGTTTCTTTTTGTTTGTTTGTTTGTTTTATTTTTTGTTTGTTTGAGACAGGGTTTCTCTGTGTAGCTTTAGTGCCTGTCCTGGAACTAGCTCTTGTAAACCAGGTTGGCCTTGAACTCACAGAGAACCGCCTGCCACAGCCTCCAGAGTGCTGGGATTAAAGGCGTGAGCCACCACTTCCTGGCAGTGGTTCTTAATAGGAGAGTTATCCCAAGTCATCAAGATTGACAATGTCAGAAACCTCTAGGAATTATACTATTTCATGATGTTACCTTTGCTAAGTGTAAGCTAAGCAAAGCTGAACAAAAATTTAAATAACACACACACACACACACACACACACACACACACACACACACACACGAGTTTAAAATGGCAATTTCTTCGTCCTTGCCACATCTTTCTAATCTCTAGCCCTCGTCATGGAAACCTCCTTTTGTCAAGTTGAAATACATCTTTTCACTCTTTTCTCTATACAGTTCCAAACATGTATTTGTCCAAATATAAATTTCTTAAAAACTTTTTTTACTTATTTTGAGGCAGGATCACCTGCAACTCAGGTTACGCAAGCCCTTTTGTAGAAGATCATCTTGCCTTCAACTCTCAAGTGCCCTTTTGCCTGCTCAAATCCGTATCTTAAGGAGGGATAAATTGGTTCATGCTGCAGCTTTGCTCTTCCTGGTTACCCCCTTAAATAGTTACCAACTTTACTTAACTTCATAATAAATAATAACAGTTAACACTTTAAGAAGCTTCCTCTGTAACAGACAGTCATAGAGGATTAATTCACTGATTAATTTGTTCACTGTAACAATTAATACTTTGTGAACTAGATATTGTCTGATTTTATAAGTAGGAAAAATTAAGTGTTAACGAATGAAATAAATCTATATAAAGACACCAAGCCAAATGAATGGAGTTTGTGAAGCCTGGATGTAGTAATTTTTTTGTAAGCAAGGTTTTTCTATGTAGCTGCTCACTGTCCTGCAACTTGCTATGCAGATCATGCTATGAGGCCTGAGGCCACCAACTTTGTTGGGCTCAAACTCACAAAGATCCATGTGCTTCTGCCTCCTGAGTGCTGGGATTAAAGATATGCACCACCATTTCTGTCCAGTCATTCTTAGTATTTCTGAAATGTGTCCTCTAACAAGGTCTACTATTTACAAAATGCTTTTAAGTCAAAACTAGAGATGGGGCTGGAGAGATGGCTCAGGGTTTAAGAGCACCAGTTGCTCTTGTGGAGGACCTGAATTCGGTTCCCAGAGCCCACATCAGGTACCACACACTGCCTTGTAACTCCATATCCGATGGTCTGACATCCTATTTTTGCCTCTAGAAGCCCATATTCATGTATACACACATCCTCACACAATGCACATAATTAAAATAGTTTTTCTTCAAGATATACAGTGTATATACAGATCACATATACACTAATGCTAATCCCTGGTTTTTTCATTGTCCTATAGTTGTGAAAGGTATAACCACCTGGGTGACACAAGGAACCACTCTGTATTGTTCTCTTAACTTCTTGGGAGTCTATACTCATTTTTTTAAAATAAAAGGTCACAAGATATTTACATTACTTTATATAAACTTTTTGACAGAGAAAATTATAGAGGTGACAAACACAGATTAGTGTTTGTCAAAGATGGTCGAAGGGGAACCAGTTAGGTGTGTTTGCACAGGGGACCTTGACTATGGTGGTTGTATGATAACCTACACCTGGCAAATCCCACAGAGAGGCCTACAGAGGGGTGCAGAGAGTTGTTGGAATCTAGAAAAGCTCTCTGAGGTGCATCGATGCCAGTTTCCTGGGTTTGATAATGTAGGTGTGCAAGTATATCCATCAGTCTGAACTAGGGAAAGGAGGCCCTCACTTTCCTTGCACTTTTGAGACTTCCCATGAATCTATAATTATAGCAAATTAATAAAAGGAAAGTAAATGTTTAACAAGAATATCAAACACGTTTCACAAATGTCTTCTGGCAAATGCTGTTTTGTCAGGATACTGTAAAATCGGTGCATAGAGAAAGTAGTTTTAGTCAAGAATACCACCCCACCCCACCCCACCCCAAGCGGATCAAACATTTATTTATTTATTTATTTATTTATTTATTTATTTTTATTATGTATACAACATTCTGCCTCCATGTATGCCCGTGCGCCAGAAGAGGGCACCAGATCTTATTTCAGATGGTTGTGAGCCACCATGTGGTTGCTGGGAATTGAACTCAGGACCTCTGGAAGAGCAGCCTGTGCTCTTAACCACTGAGCCATCTCTCCAGCCCCCTGATCAAACATTTTAAGAGTGGCGAGCACAGAAAAGAACCGTGGAGAAAAGGGATGACTACCAACTACTTTTAGAAGCTACTGGAATCTAGGATTTTGACCTAAGAGAAATACATTTTCCTTCTTTGTGACATTTCTTTTTCCTCTTTAGTTAAAGTTGATTTCACCAATTTTAAGATTCTTCCCCATGGAAAATGGTATCTAATAAAAAATACATGTGATGTAATAATAGCTAAATGTACCTGCTGCCTGTTAGTGCCCACCTGGCACCATTTTAAGTTATTACACCTATAAACAAGTTTTAATCTCACAACACATTGCTGCAGATTTTTAAGATTCCCACCTTACTGATAAGGACAAGGACCTGTTTCACAGACAGTAATGCTGCACCAGGTTTCATATAAATTTTCTACAGCTCAGTTTCAAACATATTTAAGCCATATCTTTGGACTCTTAAATTTTTCTTTAATTAAACAGTATTATCTTAGTTCTTGTCTTTAGTATTATTTGGTGGAGTATTTTCTGGAGTCGATGTCTTATTTGCTCATAAGCTCCATTTTGTTTACAGAGCTGGCAGGGGAGGAAGAAGCAACAACATTCGGAAAATCACTATTTCTTTGCCAACCTGTGCAACTTAGTAAGATTTTCTCAAAATTTGAAAAAGCTAGGGATGTGTCTTGGGGGCACATCCTGTGTTGGCCTGTGCAATATGCTAGATTCAAAGTCTACCACCAAACCAAAAATCCACCTTTTTGTTGTTGTTGTTTTGTTTTGTTTTATTTGGGACAAGGTTTTTTTTCGTGCAGCTCTGACTGTCCTGGAACTCACTCTGTAGACCAGGTTGGCCTCGAACTCACAGATCCTTTGAAGAGCACACATGTTAAGTCCATCTTCCCTATCCTTCAGGCCAGGTCTCCTCTGCAAGTAGGACTTGGGACGAAGCCAAGGCGCCCAGACCTGGGGGCGGGGCCAAAGGCTGGAACTCCAGGACTTCCTGGAGGCGGTTGGGAGCTCGAACAAATTCCTGTGCATCCACTTCCGGGAGTTAGCACGTGGTGGCGCATGGGCTCCAGCCTTGTTCTAGGCCGCTTTTGAGGTGTGTTAGAATCTTCGAAGTCCATCGTGATGGCTTCTCGGTACGACAGGGCAATCACCGTCTTCTCTCCGGACGGACACCTTTTCCAAGTGGAGTATGCTCAGGAAGCTGTGAAGAAAGGCTCCACCGCGGTAAGCTGCTCCCCGGGCTCCTGCTGCTCCAGCTGGGAGTGGGTGTTGGGGGTGGGTGTAGTGGGGGGCAGAGCCCAGGCCGCCGGGTGTGAGGACCACTTCCTTTCTTGGAGCAGACACAGCTTCAGGCCAGCGGTCCAGGTTACACAGACACTGGTAGACATCTCAGCCTTTTGTTTAACGACAGCTACAGGCACTACGGCGCATGTGTGTAGCAGCTGGTAAAGACACCTAGAACATTCTGCCTCAGTGCTCATGGCCCACTTCCTCAGGGACCCACTGACCCATGTTAGAAGTAATAGTTCTTTCATGTTGGAAGCTGTTGTTTGATAATGATACAAATTAAAGCCTGGCCATCCAGGTCTGTCACCACCCCCCATCCCAGGACAAATCGACTCCTAACTCTCCATTAGAGGAACAGTTAGAAACTCTAATCAAGATGGCCATTAAATTGTCTCAGTGTGTGTGTGTGTGTGTGTGTGTGTGTGTGTGTGTGTGTGTGTGTG